CCAAGGAAGCGCAGTTCCGCGCTCGAACAATGCACATTCAGCGAAAGTTCCATTTCTTGCGCGACAATCTGGTGGCTACAGGAGAAGCTGAAATACAATGGGTACCTACGGAGGAAATGGTAGCGGACATTTTTACAAAGGCCTTACCTCGAGAGAAACACTGGAGGTTTATGCGGGCTATGGGTCTTAGGCAGCGCTTGAGTGGGAGTGTCGGAATGCGGTCAGGTGACGTGTCAGATTAGATTAGATTACCTTACCTTCCTGTTATAGTAGACAAGCACTGCCACCTGCCAGCGCTGTAGACAGTGCTGGCTTCGCTCCTTCCTTTCCTCAGTCAGTGATCTTCCCACTAGACTGAGGTATGTTCATCTTCTATTCCCATACTATACTGTACTCATATGGTTCTTAGAGTCCTCTGTACAGGTATAGTCCTAATACAGTCAGTGATCTTCCCACTAGACTGAGAGTCCTCTGTACAGGATCTCTTATGTCCGTCTTGCGGGCGGAGGAAATTATATGAAGGTGGCGCACAACTACAAGTTTACAAGGCTCGTCGTGCACGAGCCTCCGGGGGCGTGGAGACAATGCTGCTTTCATTCCTAGAGCGTAGGGTTTTTTTAAGACTGAATGCTAACGCGCGTAACTGACGAACCGTCCAGGCCGACCATACCCTGGTGCTCGTTAAGCCTTCCTTCGCTATCCGTCTTACTCAACCTCGCGTTTCCTACCATCGATCATCAGGGCTCAGCAATCAGCAGATCTCTTTCAGGACATCCTAATTCCCCTAACGGTGGTCGGAATTGACTCCACGAAGACAGGTGGATCGGCGGTTGTCATGGATGTCCAACTTTGCACGGTTCGTCCTTGCTCACACGTACGACGGGAATGGAGTAAATCATTGAATTTAAGAACATCTGATTACTAGGAGTATGCAGCCTCTATGCATGCTGCCATGAAGAATGACCCATAAGCCGCTCACGACGTTCACAACGTTTCGATGTCGTCCGATGTTGACGGGTCCGACCCTGGCGCTCCCCTTCTACCAGCTTCTACTTCCAAGCAGGAGGGACCGTTGTGGAAGCCCTCGCCCCCCGAGACCTCCGGCTTGCCAGTCGCGGAATCGTCTGGTACGCGCCCTTTCCCCGCCAGTGCCCGTGTCTTACACGAGGCATGGAAAATTACTTCTTACCAGTGACATGTATCGCCGAAGACTCCATTCCGTTCGCAGAGGGTGCACCCTGTCTACGCTGCGCCAAATGGCCAATTCCACTCCGACCCTGGTTCTGGACACTGCTGCTCCTCTGTACGCTCATTATTGGAGTGTCTCTTGAGGTTATGTTGTCATTGAACAAGGACCAAGGTACGTCTCAGGGGCATGGGCCTACTGCAATCATAGACCTAGCGTTATCGATATGCAGGCTGGGCCGTAAGTGGCGCCGTGGGGGAGCTCTTGACGTGCGATGTCACTCGATATGCCCTGGTGAGTTCTCTTGATTGTCAGGAAACCATTTGCAGACATCTAATATTGTTGCTTATATTTGCTTATAGAGCGCTGTGATGGGCCCTATGATTACCACGCTCTATAGTTCTCTATGGATATGGACTTGCGCAAGCATATACGCCCTGCAGGTGCGTTACTCAGGGCAGACTGTTTCCGTCCTCGTCTCTGATGGCGTACCCCAGCCCTACTTGAACCTGCTAAACGCCTCACTCCACGGAGAGTCTGCCGAGAGCACTATATTCTTGGACTACTCTCAAAAAAGGTGTGCCTCTCGTACTCGCACGATCGCGCTCGCATTCAAGTTGATTCACAGGCACCTAGTCTCTATTCCACTGTCTACGCCGCGCTCAAGCGCGGTGACTGGCTTGTCGTGTTGGCTGCAGTCCTTGTACTACTCACGTCTACGTTGCATCATCTTTCTGCTACGTTGTTCTTTTCTCAAGATGTTCGGGTTAACGGCTGTGGTGCGTTCGTTTGTGACGTCCACTTTCGTGTGCCCATGTTTGCATGTATGCTGACCCCGATCTCTACTCAAGGCACGAGTGCGACCGGCTACAGCGATCCCCTCAGCTGTTCCGATTCGCCAAATTAACAAATCAAGCGAATTTTTCTCGAGTACGTCCACGATTGCAATCCATGCAAGTCTCCTGACTCAAGGCGCCCTGTACAGCGGATACACAGTCCGTCTGCTTGCACTACTCTCAGCGTTACTCACCCTGGGTGGCCTCGTTCTGCAACTCGCTCACCGCCGCGCTCGCAAGGGCCTCGTCCTCCCGTCCAAGCTGAGCACAATCGGGGCTGCGGGGTACGTTGCTGCCCCCTTAGGAGGAGCCACGTTCTCCGATAGCCTCAGGAGCTTTCCCGATGAAGTGGACCGCACGCTCTCAGAGCGTCGGCTGGCGTGGGATCTGGACAAGGGACATGTCGTCGTCGTCTAACCCAACCCACTGCACGCCGCGCTTCCTAGCGCAGTATGCAGGGGTGTGGGGGTTCGCCGAGCTTGCTAGAGCAGATTTGCCTGGAGCGCGCTGCGGCACTCGGTCCAAAGCGACCACAGGGGAGATCGCAGGTCTTCTCCCGCATCGCTTCTGCGAACCTTCAGGTCGTTCCTTCGTTCTTCCGTCCCAGTGCCCTTACACCAAACCTAATAGGCCGGATCAGATATTCTCATGCTCTGCTGGCGTCCGTGTTCTCGTTGAGACCATTCTGTCTTTCGCTGATCTCTTCGCTCGCACCTGACTTTCGCATTCCGCGTGGTCCGGCACATCTATACTGTATGGACGCGCGCTCGGCGGTTGGTTCCAGAGATCTTCTGCTGTATCTTACAACGAGGCGAGTCGATGACACGCCGCTTCGAAAACGCGAACCCTAATGAAACGTGTTGGACGGACTGGACGAGTTGGCCACGTGACAGCTCGTACTGTATGAATGTATGGATAGTTGCAGATGGTAAGCACGTATCACGTATGAGACGGTGTGTATGGATTCGATAGACGATAAGAGAATACATATTGCATGGGCAAGCAAGGTTTGCGCGGGGAATACAGTGGGTTGTCGGTTGGTGGGGCTGGGAATGGTTGTATGCAGATATCCAGGTAAGTGGTAACTAATTGGTACATTGGATAGATAAACAACAATAGACGAAAGAGAGGGGTTCGCAGAGACACACGAGATGGATAAAAGATTTGCGTCCTTTCAATCTGGATACCCGAGCCGAGGAAGACCATTCGCATTGTTCGACAACTTCAGACATCGACGTACTGAACGAACTGTGATGGAAGATGCGCCATTAGCCGGGTCCAAACATCTACGGACGTCAATGATACACTTACAGATGAGTAGGGACGCTTGGGAATATCCCCTTGCACAGGCAGCGAGTCGAGCAGCTCCGGGACCTTCGGGTCGTACTTGATGAAGTCACCGCGATGGTCCAACCAGCCTTCCGTGGGCGCCGGATACTGCCTGAGCTCCTCGGGATTCGCAAGGTGGCGTAGCGCATACACGATAAACCGCTCCCCCTTGTCCGTCACGTACAAGTGGTCGCCCCGCCGATTCCAATACCCCAGGCGGACCGTCCGCCGAGGTTGATATGAGGAGCTTTGTTGGTGCGCAGCCGCAGCGGCGGACGCGGACGTAACGCCGCCTCGGGCGAGGGACTCGGTATACGGAGAGACGGCCGGCGGACGTGGGAGCGGATTGTGACGCAAGGGCGAGGCAGCGCGGGAGCGCGAAGAGTTTGCATTCGGCGAGGTGCGGGAGTACGACGAGCTCGAGTATGAGTTCGAGGGGTACTGCTGCGCTTGTGATTGGTGGGTTGAATTCGAGTAGTCCCGCGACGGCTGGTGTTGGTGAGAGGTACTCGAGGAGTGGTGGTGGGAAGAGCTGAACGAATGATGTTGGGACGATGAGCCATAACGAGGTGATGTCGATGGGGGCGAGGGAATCACGGGAGGGGGGACCACTGGAGGTGGGATAACAGGCGCGACGGAGGGATAGGTGTGACTCCTCGAAATCTGACGCGCGTGATATGCACCGGTCTCGGGCGACGGTCGCGTGTTGTACGACGATGGGGACGTCCGACTAGGTGGGGTGCGCGTGGGCTGAGTGTGCATTGGGGGGGTGCGCGTCGGTGGCTGAGGCGTCACGTTCGCGGATCGGTCGCGATCTCCTCCACGTTCGTACTCGTGGTCAGCGGACAGGCGCTGTCGTGAACCTTCCCGCGGACGGGGCGTGCGCGGATAAGTCTTGCCCTCCCGCTCGCTCGCTTCGCCAGAGAATGCTACGTCGTATCCAGGACGCTCAATTACGGGGAAAGTCTGACTCCGACCGACGTCCCGAGCACCATTTCGACCAACATCCCGGCCAGGACTGGGTTTAGTTTCCATCGGGGGTGTGCTGCCCACGACAAGCGGACTGAGCAGAGCCTGAGGCTCCTCAGTAAACGTGAGCAGGCCGAGGGAGCTGGGGGGCGTAGTAGAAACAGATGTATTCACCGAGGGAGGCATCGTGGACTGTCGGCGCACGCTCATGCTGTTGGAGCGCGAGGGAGCGTTGCTGGCGGACGCATAGATGCTACCGAGAGGGGGTGTCCTCGTCGGAGTATCATTGCTCTCTTCATGACTCGAAGGTCTTGATCCTGATGAGTAATGACGGGGAGTGCGAACTATCTTGGGGGAGAACGTCGGTTGCAGTGGCTCCCGGGACTCGCTGTAGGCCTCGCTCGTGCGATGGGGGTCGCGCTGCTCTCGATCGCCCGATGAGGTCCGTTCCCGTTCCCGTTCCCGCTCCCGTGCTGCGGCTGCCGCAGATGCGGATGAGGACGCAGACGCGGACGCGGACGCAGAAGGGGTACGATAATCTCGGTACGACTGGGACTCGGCAGAGGGCCGAACAGAAGTTTCATGGCTGTGCTGCCGTGCGTGCACCGAGGTATCCTGCTGCTGCGGTTGCTGCGGCGGGGCAGAAGGATACCGCTCGGCAGGGCGCTGCGTCTCCTGAGGACGTTGCTGTTGCTGCTGGTGGTAGGAGGAATAGGATGACACCGCAGCTGGCGCTGACGTGGGAGGAGCGGGACCGGGCGCTTGCTGCAAAGACCGGCTATGTGACGACGCAGGGTACTGTTGGTTGGAAAACGCGTCTCGCTGGGAGGAACTGGGCGCACGGGAGTGGTCGCGAGATGATGAAGTGTAGGGAGGAGCGGGAAGTGCCTTGTCGGTCTGCTGCGATTGCGGGTGGCCGCCCTGGGAAGCAGGGTTACTGGTGTTGTTCAGGGACTTACTGGCTTCCTCGCTGCTCATCAGCTCCTTCGGCACCCAGACCCACGGTGTATGAGGGACACCGTTCTGCTCCTTCACATGCCGTTCAGAAGTCGGTACAGGATCCCTAGAACAAGGAAGGAATAGTGACGCTCTCTTCTCAGCCTATTGTACAAGATTATACGTACTTGATATGCATGTTCTCCAACCCCAGCGGGTTATCCGACAACTTCGTCGCCCAGTACGATGGATCACCAGGGTTCGCCACCCGCTTGTGCGGGTTGAAATTGCTCTGTCCTTGCGCTTGCGCGACCGCCGCACCCCAGCCTGGATGAGGCGCCCACATGGGCTGGCCCTGCGTCATACCGGGCTGGGGACGAAACATCGGGTTCGGCTGCCACTGGCCATTCATCCATACCTGGGGGTTTACGCCTGGAGGGACTGGAGGGGGCTTGGAGTTGAACGGGACGGCGTTGTAGAACGCATTCGCTTGTACCCATCCAGCCATTGTGGGGATATATGTGCCAGAGAAATGACCTGCACCAGGTTGCATAACGTGGGCCATGTTGACAAGGACGATATCAGCGGTGAGCGGTGAGGCGGGTTGCGACGGCGATTAGAGCTTTCTATAGACACTCGCATAGATATACAGGGGGAGACTACTAGCGTTGTCCGGATCGGCGTTATCCACAACGTCGTGGAGAACGAGTGCGGTGTGACCCACGGTTATGCGGCCAGCGTGACTGGCAATGCGGCAAAAGGGCGACAAGTGGTTCTGCAGCCTGTGCAAGGACCTAGCAGCGACGGAGAGACCAAGCTGAGGACAGATGAGAGAAAGCGTTGGAGTCGATACCACGGCGGTGCGATAAAGGTGCAGGGGGACAAGCACGGAGCTGATTAAGGGCCAGAGATGTGCTGGAGAGACAAACGTGCCCGGCTTAGGTGCTCTGCCACTGCCTCCTCAGCCGGAGACCGGATCCGATTTGAAGCAGCGAGAACTCACCAGACTGACCGGGGGCAACCGCTTCCGGGACAGAATAAGCCAGCAGGGCCAGACGGGGGTTGAATGGGATATGACGGTGGGAATCAGTCGAAGGCGGAGCCTTGTGCGTTACGAGGGCGTAAGTCGCTGAATGAACTGGGGTATACTTCTGGAGTCGGTGTCAGTTGATCAGATATAGACGAGCATGAGCCGGACTGACCGGGGTCGAGGTTCCCGTGCAGGAAACGCAGGCAAACGATAAGAATGAGTTTGGTTGGAAGAAAGCTGGACCAGGGGCGTTGTTGGCAGCAAGCAAGCAGGCTGAAGGACCAAGGCCGGCGCAGACCGTTGCAGTCGACGCGGACGCTACGGCTGTGCCTGTTGAGCTGCAGCTGCACAGAGCTCCTGTTTGGCTGTGTTTGCTCCATGTGGCGTCCGTCCGTGCCTCGAGTGCGCCTCAGACGCAACGCACCATCTTGCGCCGCTCCTTGTCCTTCGTGCTCGTGCATAACAAGACTGTCTCATTGAATTGCCGCACTCACCCGATCTTAACCACTCTGACGCCGCCTGGTACAGCACGAAGCAGCGCGTATGGCAAGCAGCCTGTTCGGCCACACGCGTTTGCCGCATTGAGCGTGTCGCTCACGTGGCCGGCACTCAGCTCAGTAAGGCAGGTACGTTGCCTGCGGGCTGTCGACAAGTCTACCGTGACCAATGATGTTCTTGCTCTCCTATCGCTTAGCCCTCTGAGCTGTACAGATGTCTGCGAGCAGCAGTCAGCATATCCGGAAAGCTGCGTCAACTGCAGCCACGCATTTGGCATCAGGACGCGAATGAGCGGAAAGGAGCTGATTGTATCTCTCGTTTGTGATGCCGTGGACACTGAGAGCTCCTCGCGGCCCACACGTATGACCATTGGGACTAGTGGAAGCCTCTCCGCTCGACAGTTTCTGTCCATTCATGGTGAAGCGTCGAAAGAAGGACTGGACGTACCAGCGGTCATTCCTCTACTAGTAAATCTGCCACGAGTAATGCAGTGCGGTGAATAGGGTCTGCCAGATGCACCACTCAGTTGACATGTAAGATCTCCTGGCGTAGTCATTGGGAGGGTAACATCGAGTATGTACCCGCCTGACGGAGGATGGACATTGACATACAGGCTGTAAGTATGCCCGCTGCTCCCAACAAGCGCGAATGGATCCTGGAGCAGCGTCTGAGACAAAGTTTGGTATTTCGCCCTGAGTAAACCTTCTCCGAGCATCTTGCTCCCTAGCTTAGCTCATATGAAGCACAGGCATGAATACTTCACCCACGACCTAGGAATCTGAACCATCACCTTTCGCACAGCTCAAGTATAATGGCATCCCAGCACAGAAAACCCCTCTTCGACATCTCTTATCCCTTCTCTCGACCTCAATTGACACCATTGAGGCCGAACTGGACGCGGCCCACATGCCAGCGTTCTCTCTTGATCCCACATGGCACCCCCTTGACTCGCCAAACACAGTCCCTACCCCTAGGCTACATGAAGCTCGGAAGGTGGCTATGGCGTCTGCGCACATGATCCAAGCTCTCGTTCAAGACGTGGGCACGGCCCTGACGGTATCTCGGCACTTGTCATGTTGAATGACATCGCTCCTTACACACTCGCACCAGGATCTCGCGCTGAGGGCAGTCGACGCCTCCGCATATATCCTGACCGCCGATATCGAGCTCGTGGATGTCTTCAAGAGCGATGAGGAGAAGCGCGGTGGCCTGCACGTCGATCAGTTGGTCGCTCGACTGCCGGCAGGGAAGAAGGTCGATTCGCAGAAGCTCGCCCGCTGCCTGCGCTTGCTGACCGCTTCTCATTGGCAAGCCTTTGTCTTTTTTGTCGGAAGAGCTGCAGTTGATGGGTCTGCATCGAATATTTTCGGTCTCAGGTGGACAGAACCTTCTCCAGATGTCTTTGCGCCCACCCGTTGGGCACTCTTGAACACTGCCGGTTCTCCTTCATGGGCCTATGCCAGGCCAGCCGCTCTGGGCGTCATGATCGGGTGCTCAGCATTGACGGAACACATGATAGATTCCGCTGGAGCTGAGGCGGACACCAACGACGCCTCTCCGTTTTCCATGGCCCTCCAGAAGGCCGGGTCTGACAAGAAGGGATGGTGGGACTGGCTCAACAACGACCCCGACAGTCTCAGCCGGTTTGCCGTCAGCATAGAGGGAGTTGGTGAGCAGCCTCTGTGTCATCTATCCTATCTACAGGTCACTAATGACTGCGCTTCCGGTTGGCAGGATATACAAGCATCGCACCCCTCATAGCCTATTGTCCATGGGAGGCACTCCCACCCAATACAATATTCGTAGACGTCGGTTCAGCACAGGGTTCCGTTGCTTTACACGTACTACGGCACGTGTATGCGAAGACTCCGACATTCAAGGTTGTCTGCCAAGACCTAGAAGGGCCTATTCAGTCAGCCAGACAGTTTTGGCAGGATGAATTTCCTGAAGCACTGGCGGATGGGCGAGTCGAGTTGCAAGCGCACGACTTCTTTACAGAGAATCCCACCAAGGATCCAAACACGGTATACTTCATGCGAGCGGTTCTTCGTATGTCGTCCAAGAGAAAGTTGTGAGGCGTTGTGCTAATTGGTCTATGTTGTAGATGACTGGCATGATAAGTGAGCGCAATCTTCGTTATGCTATCCGATCTTCTTGTGAACATGGCTTAGTCTTTGCTCTAGCTATGCTATCAATATACTGAAACAAATCCGGAAGTCTTGTCATGAGTCGTCCAGAGGTCAGCTGTTCCCATCTACACTAGCGAATCGAAAACTTACACTTGGCTGTGCTCGTCAGTGCTCATTGCCGACTGTATGATGTTGCCGGCGATACCTACACGACTTGAGGACTGTGACAGACGGGGGTCTTTGGAAGAGGTCCTCAATGCCGTGAGCAATGATCCCGTTAGTCCCTCACATACGGTCATATCGTTCCTGTAATCATTCATGCCATTACAGCCCTATCAACTTATGCCAGCCCCCTATCCCCTTCCCGAGAACTTCGGCTTCGCCACAAAGGTCCAGAACTTATTCGATGTTGTGCGTGGTGCCCTACTACTCACTCGGAAACATTACCCATACAGACCTAACATATGCCCCAACCCTTCGTAGACAATGCTCGTCATTGTTCATGCTTCAAAACGTACATCTCTGCAGTTTGAGCAAGTACTTGCCGAATCTGGCTTCAAGATCAATAAAGTGTTCTACACTCGGGGCACCGCAACCAGTACGTCTCTTTCTGATTACGGTCGGGTTTCCCATTTACATTCCAGTCCGTGACACCCTTCTTCCCGAAGTCATAGAAGCCGTGCCTCTGCTGGATGAAGTGACCCCCTAATGGTTGTCTGGCCCGTCATCTTCGGCGCGGTACGGCTCCCTCTACACGATTCATCAATAATCGTGTTCGATGGGTTTCCGTCCGAATTTTTGGGTGTTTCTTCATGACAGCCCTGCCTCGGGCGAAAGTCGTCGAGGCGAAAGACACGTCGTTGGCGTAGCGACTTCTTTACGGAAGCACAGAATTGAGTTTCAACCAAGGGTCGTTCATGTACATGTTGCATACGAAATGGTCTCTATATTACACGATAGTGGAAGCTACTTCTGAGTCTTCGCGATACGACACATAGCCCGTCTTCTCCGATGCTGGCGCTACAAAGACGCCTGCTCAGCTTCAGATCCATAAATGATCAGACCATACTTACACCGCGTGGCATGCTCCAGAGTCAACGAGATCACCTCTCCGGTGAACACCGACCTCCGGCGTTGAGTCGAGATGCTCGCGAGCTCGATGTCGCTTTGTAGGTCTATGTCCGGAGGGGCCGCACGGACACGCGGGTTCAGAACCAGGCGGGAGCCCTGCACTCCCAGTCAGCCTCCTACAGATAGACAATGCTCATCGTCGGATCACGTACGGCGAAAGACAAAACGACAAGCAGCCACCTGCGCCAATGAGTTCCTGCTGTGAGCGACGGCGTAGGCGGTGCGCGTGCAGCTGGGCGACTCACGTGTAGCATATTCCCGTCAATTCGGAGTGCACGTATTTGTAGAACATCATGTTGACGAGCATGGTCAGGAAGATCAGGGCATATGCCCACGTTCCGTCCGCGACGAACTGTTGCACCATGACCGCTCTGCCCCATCCCTGCCGTACGCCATCCAAGAACTTTCCGATTGTCAGGGTGAACAGGAGGGTCTCGAACGCTAGAGAGACAACCCTAGCGTGGCTAGTGAGCGCGTAGGAATACATGTCCCCGGGCACACGTACCAGTAATATTGGAAGATCGAGGGGCTGGAGACTACGTAGCATTCATCGTTGTATGTCAGCCGAGGAGTCACCTTGACAAGAATGTAGCACAGGGACGCGACTTCGGCCGAGAACAAGCTTCCGAGTCCGATCAGCAGTATGCGATTCCTATGGTACAGGGCATAAACTTCGGTCCCGTTCAGGTCAAGGCTTGATTGCGATGCGCAGGGACTTTGCTCACCTCGAATGATCAAGATGACGTCGACAGAGGTGACAATCGCCTGGAGCAGGGTGCCTTGGACAATTTGCCAGGCAGCACATTGGCCGCTCGTGAACGACAAGCCAGTGGTCCCGTTGACATTGATTGCGAGCAAGGCGCTACAGGCCGATCAGCACGCTGGAGATGATGACACCCCACAAGTTGACGAACATACAGTTGGACAAGCCACGGAAGGTATCGGGCGATCAGATACATAACTTTTGCCGCCGTCCATCTACGCCTGCCTCGAGACCGTCAGCGGCTGGCGAGGGAGGCACGTTCTTCTCGCTGGGCTCACTTCCATATCAGCTCCACCTATAAGGCGGTTAGCATGAACCAGCGACCGACACGGCATGAAGTCGACATACCTCGTCGGACAGAGTAATGACGACATCCCAAGTGAGAAGTGCCACACACGCAACCTCGCTATAACTCAGGTTTTGGGAGTTCGTGATTATGAGAGTACCTCCATCCTGGGAACCTGATAGGACCATGGGGGCCGCCAGCGAAGACGAGCATGAGGAGATCCGGGGAGGACAGTGGGCACATCACCCGCAGCTATCTATGCGGGACCTGAGCTTGGGCGCCGTCTGTCCACTTGACGTCCCGAAGGTCCCGGCGACAGGAGGACGGAAAGCCCGCATGGAAAGCAGCCGATTGAATGTGGACGCCTGGCATCCGACGTAGTCGGGATCAGAACCATTGAAAGTTGTAAGCCCGCTTCGGCGACACGCCCAAGAGTCCCCATGCAAAGCAGTCGAAGGTACACGAGGAGCGAGTTGCGGAGCCTTCACCCGGACGCACTTCCGATAGATACTAGACAAGGAGGTGTATATGGAACTACGAGCGAAGATACGGGACTGACCATCACAAGGTAGACTGATACGAGATGACATGCGTCGCGAGAGCATGCAGCCTGCCACACTTACCTTGACATATGTCGGCGAGTGTGCGGTGTTTCTGGGGCCTGGGCAGTAGTATCCTTCCATATTCAGCGGGCCTGATAACAGAGAGGGAACATCGATTGGAGGACCATGTTGCGGGCAGATGATATGGCCCGTCGAAGCCTGCATTGAGCACGGGTTCCCTACAGATGTCCCGAGAGTGATATGAGCAAATGGCGGCGCGTACGTTCGACGACAAGGCCGCGCGACGGTGCGAGTCGAGTACTTGTGGCGCCCGGAGGGTACAGCGGTTTTCAAATGACTTGTCGTTTGGGCGCCGACAAATGCGCGCGCCACACCTGCGTTCGACGCCCACTTGATGCCTCCCTTGTGGACCTTCAACCGACCATATCTCCTCGTCCGCTGCACCAATTCACTCGCTTCTTGCAGACTCTGATCCTTTGGGCCTCCCCGCACATGCGCATAATGATTTCGTCGCGGAATTCGATGCCCTCCTTATGCTAGACCCAATTTGCGTCTCGCGCACTGGGTCCCCCCTAAGCGCCACCTCTGGAACCTGAGACGGCGAATACTCTTCAACGGCTCCACATATCGCCTTCGATCCTTCAATACTGGGATTCTAAGAGCAAATCTCAGGGTATGTTATTTTGATCCCAGCACTGCAAATCTCGCATGGGACGTCCAACTTCCATCCTGTATGCCGGACCTTCCATGTCGACCGCACTCCCTTTGCCTTGTACTGCATGGTGACACTTGAGGATTGCATAGAAAGTGGGTGGTAAGTGGCGCAGAGTATGCAGAGCACGGTGAGTTTCTCTTTTTCCACGTCTCCCGCTTCTATGCGGACTACCTGCAT